CTTTTACTCTCCATATACTCTGCTCTTCTTATAACACTTCTGCTTGTAAAAACCCTCATAAGCTACCTTTATCTCTTTATCAAACCCTTTACTTCATCATTCCACCAATCACTCCTCTTTCCTCCTGCCCCCACCCTCCTATAACCACAAGCTTCTGCCCCACATTCTAATACTGCATTTTTAAAACATATTCCAACCCTCTTCAACCCCCCCCCCCACTACTCATCTTTGCACTAGCCCACCTTTCTGCAATAGCCGCTTATATCTCACCCGAACTTCCTCCTCCCTCAGTTTATACACTTTCACCTCCCTCTTACTTGCTGTTGCCACCTTCCTCTTTTTCCATCTACCTCTTACTCTAACTGTAGCTGCAACTAAATAATGATCCGATATATCAGTTGCCCCTCTATAAACATGTACATCCTGGAGCCTACCCATCAACCTTTTATCCACCAATACATAATCTAACAAACTACTTTCATTACGTGCTACATCATACATTGTATATTTATTTATCCTCTTTTTCATGAAATATGTATTACTTATTACCAAATTTCTTTCTACACATAGCTCAATTAAAGGCTCCCCATTACATTTACCCCTGGCACCCCAAATTTTACCTACTACTCCCCCATAACATTTTTACCCACTTTAGCATTGAAATCCCCAACCACCAATACTCTCACACTTGATTCAAAACTCCCCACGCATTCACTCAACATTTCCCAAAATCTCTCTCTCTCCTCTACACTTTTCTCTTCTCCAGGTGCATACGTGCTTACTATAACCCACTTTTCACATCCAATCTTTATTTTACTCCACATAATCCTTGAATTAATACATTTGTAGTCCCTCTTTTCCTGCCATAGCTTATCCTTCAACATTATTGCTACTCCTTCTTTAGCTCTAACTCTATTTGAAACCCCTGACCTAATCCCATTTATTCCTCTCCATTGAAACTCTCCCACCCCCTTCAGCTTTGTTTCACTTAAAGCCAGGACATCCAGTTTCTTCTCATTTATAACATCCACAATCATCTCTTTCTTATCATTTGCACAACATCCACGCACATTCATACTTCCCACTTTGACAATTTTCTTCTTCTTATTCTTTTTAGTAATCTTTACAGGAAAAGGGGTTACTAGCCCATTGTTCCCGGCATTTTAGTTGACTTTTACAACACGCATGGCTTACGGAGGAAAGATTCTTATTCCACTTCCCCATGGATATAAAAGGAAAAGTAATAAGACCAAGAACTATTAAGATAAAATCAAAGAAAACTCAGATGAGTGTGTACAAATAAATGTGTACATGTATGTGTAGTGTGACCTGTAATCTTGCATATTTATGAGACAGACAAAAGACACCAGCAATCCTACCATCATGTAAAACAATTACAGGCTTTCGTTTTACACTCACTTGGCATGACGGTAGTACCTCCCTGGGTGGTTGCTGTCCACCAACCTACTACCTTAAAATATTTGTAGTCTTAATCTAGGGTGAGACGAGTAGTATTTATTGTAAGAAATCAAGTGTGGTATGTATGGTAGTCAGCCAGACCACCCCACCCACACATATTATTCTATGATATTTAAGCATCCCAGAATGATAAAATGCATATACAGTTCACTCATTACTTATCTTAAAATATTTGTAGTCTTAATGTAGGGTCAGAGGTGAGTAAACGAGATAAAATGAATAAATGAGAGAGAGAGAGAGAGAGAGAGAGAGAGAGAGAATGAGTACATGACAGAGGACAGGCTCAGAGTTATATAAACAAACCAGGCGAACGCAAGTTTTGTAAACAAACAAAGTCTACATGGCTGGTTTGTGTACAGGTGACATTGTGTACAAGTTGTCTCTACATTGATATGGTAGAATAAATAAAGAAGAACACTCCCATTCTCATGTAACACCATTTTTAGAAGAAATGAAGCTCTAAGTGAAGTCAATGGAAATAAGTCACTCTGACTTTTTTGGGTTATGCCAGGTTCTCTACACATATGCTGTTATGTATGATAATCTATGTAACTGTATTTGTGTATACCTGAATAAATTTACTTACATACATACGAAAGGAATAATTTTCTACAGTTACCCCCAATAACACATTTTCTCTTATGTCAGACTAGAGAAAATGTTATTCTTGCTGTCACTTGTACAAGTTATCTGGCTACCACATCTCATATTTATGTTTAAGAGATAAGATAAGATTAAGATAAGATTTCGTTCGGATTTTTAACCCCGGAGGGTTAGCCACCCAGGATAACCCAAGAAAGTCAGTGCGTCATCGAGGACTGTCTAACTTATTTCCATTGGGGTCCTTAATCTTGTCCCCCAGGATGCGACCCACACCAGTCGACTAACACCCAGGTACCTATTTGCTGCTAGGTGAACAGGACAACAGGTGTAAGGAAACGTGTCGAAATGTTTCCACCCGCCGGGAATCGAACCCGGGCCCTCCATGTGTGAAGCGGGACCTTTAGCCACCAGGCCACCGGGCCACCATTTATTCTATTGTGGAGTGTATTTATCATCTTTATATGTTATGTATCGTGCTTATTATATAATTTTGAAAAAAAAAATCATGGATGGATTAATGAAAATGTGCATATTAACGTAATATTCAACATTTAATGAGACTCGGTGATTATTATTATTATTATTATTTCTAATATGGCGTCATTTGTGCCAGTTGTCTGGCTACCACATCTCATATTTATGTTTATTTATTCTACTGTGGAGTGTATTAATCATCTTTATATGTTATGCATCGTATTTATTATATAATTTTGAAAAAATATCATAGATGCATTAATGAAAATGTGTATATTAACATAATATACGACATTTAAATGAGACTCGGTGATTATTATTATACTAATATGGCGTTTCGAGACATAAAACACTCTTACTGATTTTAATGTGTACCTGCATGCCAGCACAGTGTGTAAGTTTATTTAGGTACAGGTATACATAAGTATAATTATCAGAGTATATATAAAATATGAAATAACTTTTAAAAACACTTGAAATTTTGGAGTTACCAGACATAATGGAGAGACTTAGTGCTTACGGATCTCACAGAGAATGCAAACAAACTGGGTGGAGAGCGGTGACCATATTAGAAAGTCAGGTGGGGGGAGCAGTATAGCGAGTTTTGGTCATAACTTGAAATGACCGTAGTATTAGCAGAACGCCGTGAAGTGAAATGCCGTAAAGCGGGGCCCTACTGTACTGTGGCTGGAACCATTCATAATCAGTCCAGTATTAAATATGAATGACTAGTCACTTGAGAATGCCACCAAGGTTCAGATCATTCCTATCTTATTTGCATGCATTACAAATAAAGTGACTAAGATTGCACATATAGTGGTACCTCGAGTTATGAACTTAATTCGTTCCAGAAGGCTGTTCGAGTGCCAATACCGAACGAATTTGTTCCCATAAGGAATAATGTAAATTAGTCTGTTTCAGATCCCCCCCAAAATACACTTACATAATTGTTCAAGTTGGGAGCTGTTCGAAATTCGAGGTACCACTGTATTATATAATTACGTATCTACTAATCCTAGGTAGTAGGTTGGTAGACAGTAACCGCCCAGGGAGGTACTACCGTCCTGTCAAGTGAGTGTAAAACGAAAGCCTGTAATTGTTTTACATGATGGTAGGATTGCTGGTGTCCTTTTTTATGTCTCATGAACATGCAAGATTTCAGGTACGTCTTGCTACTTCTACTTACACTTAGGTCACACTACACATACATGTACAAGCATATATATATACACACCCCTCTGGGTTTTCTTCTATTTTCTTTCTAGTTCTTATTCTTGTTTATTTCCTCTTATCTCCATGGGGAAATGGAACAGAATTCTTCCTCCGTAAGCCATGCGTATTGTAAGAGGCGACTGAAATGCCGGGAGCAAGGGGCTAGTAACCCCTTCTCCTGTATAAATTACTAAATTTAAAAAGAGAAACTTTCGTTTTTCTTTTTGGGCCACCCTGCCTTGGTGGGATACAGCCGGTTTGTTGAAAGAAGAATCTACTAATATGTTCAAATGAACTGCTCAAACAACCTAAATCAATATAGCATAAGAATGGGTATTAGTCTGCCTAAGTGCCTTAAATTCCAATATTAACCTTGACCTAAAATGCTTTCTTGATAGTTGTGACAGGATCCACAGGCATAACACCAGACACAAACATCTCTATGACATTCCCCATGTTCGACTAAACCTTTACAAAAATTCAATGTATTTCAAAGGACCTAAAATCCAGAACACTCTACCTGAAAACTCTAGAACTGCAGACACATTCATCACTTTCAAAACTACAGTTAGAAAACATCTTATCTCCCTGATCCACCCTGACAACTAACTACATGATAACCATCTGGTGGTTCACAATTACACTCACTCACCCACTGACTATAAACCCAGAAATACTAATCTTAATCTTGAAATAATAAATCCTAACCAGTCATAAGTTTGCCTATGATACTCCAATATAGACACTTTGTATTGTGCCAAAACAAAAGCATTCACATTGCTAAACTCACAAATTATGATGTAGTCACTTAGCCTTAATACCATAATCTGTAAGGATTTAATGTTAAAAATTAATCTAAGTCTGCCCGAAATGCCTAGCCATGCTAGGTGTCCTAGTGGCCCCCTCTGTAATTAGTATTTTATAACATGTAAACCACACAATACCCAAACCTGTAAACCCCACATTGTAACCCTTATAGAGAATAAACTTGAATTGAATTGAATTGAATTTGTAATTAAAATCTTATAACATGTAAACCACACATTGTAAGCTTTACAAGGAAATAAATATTTGAATTTGAATTGAATTGAATTATAACCCCTTCTGTGTAAATTACTAAATGTAGAAAAATAAACTTTATAGTTTTCTTCTTTCTCAGGTCACACTGCCTAGGTGGGAGACAGCCAACAGGTTGAAAAAATCCATAAAATATCTGTCTGTGTTATGCTTACATTTTTTTGCAGTTGAGATCCTATTTGATCTTTTAACTGACAGTATGGCTTCCAGTCATCCTTTGAGGAGTCACCTGGATGACAGCTTCGCTCAGAAGCGTCACCTGTACCTCCAGTGGGAGCTGGAAAATAATCACATGTGGTAAATTAGAAATCTGGGAAGGCCTTGGTGATATTTTAGCAAATATTTAAGTTTTTGGTAAACAATTTGAAGGCCATGTTAATTTTGTTATGATTCTTTAGTCACATATATGACAAAGTTGCTGTCATATTTATCAGAGGATTAACACCCTATGTAGTCAAGTCAGCTTACAGCACTTTAACCTCTCCTTCAAGAGCTTTTGACATGCTTAGATTAACCCTTTGACTGTCACAACCCCCAATCCTGAGGTGTCTCTTGGTGTCGCAAAATTTAAAAAAAAAAAATATTTTTTCTTATGAAATGATAGAGAATCTTTTCCCGATTGTAATGACACCAACAAAAACGAAATTTGATGGAAAACTGACGGAATTATGCTCTTGCGAAGTTAGCGACCTCGGCGATATTTACAAATCGGCAATTTCGCCCACTTTGAGCCCTATTTTCGGCTAATTCCATTGTTCCAGTCGACCAAACTCATAGCTATTTCTTTAGAACTCCATTTTTTTCTATTGAATGAGTACAAGAAACTGCCCATTTACCGATTTCAACTACCCAATAATGTGATCAGAAATTTGCAATTTGGCCAATTTCACGAAAATTAAAAAATATGACAATTTCAAAATAAGGTCCAGAACGAACAATGCAGACATTCCTGGCTCTAAAATAACATTTTCTTTGTTCATCAGTCATGTCTCCAGGCCCCTCTGATATTACTCTTGCTTTCTATTTTGAATTTTTATTCAAACAAAAAATAGAAGACTTACTATTATGCAGACTACTGCAATACTGTAATAATTGTATAAATAACATCAACCCATTCATGACTGCATATTAGAATGGCTAGTTGGACATTTATTGGACAATGACATCATTTGTTTACTTTTGAACATTGGCAAAAATCAAACATTTTCCCTACTTTGAGCTCCATTTCCAAGTTTTTTTATAGTAAAATCAATCAAAATCACCTCTACTTCTATAATATGTTTTCCATTCTATCAAATGAGACCAAGAAAATGAGAATACAACCATAAATACTATATGAAAATAGACCACAAAGTTGGCATTTTAATTAAAAAAAAGGTCAGAGTTTTTTTTTTCTCATTATGCACTGCGTGCTCCAGGATTTTTTTTATATGGTGCACACTGACCACACAGACCCATTCTCTCACATCTGGGCCTACCAGCTTTCTCCTGCTTGATTTGAAGCCGCTAGAATTTATGAGTATATATACGTCAGACACGGTACCTCGTAAGACGTATATATACGGCCGCGACAGTCAAAGGGTTAAAGTGACAAACAAGTGATCAATGTAAAGTGACTCAAACTCTTCAACAGAAACCTCAGTCAAGAGATGTGTTGAAGAGGATCCCTGACTGAAACTGAAATACACAGCCCTCCATTATATTTTTCAGTATAAGTAGTTGCTCACTTAACGTTTACATGCAAAACTTTTATTCACGAAGGAAAGTCTATGACACTACCTGGTGTTGGTTTGCCAGACTCTGAAGAGTCTTCTCCTTCTTTACATGGTCTCGGTTCTTGCCGAAGATCATATATTGTGATAGTAAGCAGCGGCACAGTCATCTTTTCACAAAATGTACATCTGTGGAAAAAAAACCTCACAGCTTTTTGGCAAAATAATTTGTAAATAAACCACAGAATGGGTGGAGTGTGAAGCCATGGCAAGTGAGTTCTAAAACTCAGGCCAGTGCCATGGGTTCAAACCTCACCTGTTCCATGGTTTGTTTGCAATCATGTTATTACAATTTCACAAGTCTTAATTTGTAAATGATACGAGAGAGCATAAGCCAGTGAAGTACTTTTAAAAGAGAGTAACATTATGTTAAAAATGGCAATATATGTGAGGCATGTGTGAAGATATAAGAGCATAAGAAGCAGCAGCACTGCAGCAGGCCTACTGGCCCATGCTAGTCAGGTCCAAGTCACACCTACTGAAGAAAGAATGAAATACCTGTGTAACTAATGTATACTGTGTGAATTTAATCAGCAGTGCTCTTCACTATACAATAAACAATGTAATATAAGTCATCACTTGCTCTAATGTTTATGTTTATCAAATATCCACTGAGAGAATAACAGAAACTCACTTGGTGTTGAGATTAGAGTCGTCGGGTCTCCAGCCGGCCATGATTTCTTCATCGTAGAGGAGCGCAGCACAATTATGGCAGCGTGTACAGGAGGTGAGCCAAAGACCTAGACAGAATGGACCAGAAGGGTCCCAACCCAAGGGAGGGAAGAGGTCGTGCTGCACTGATACGCCTTCACCCTCGCCTCCTGCTGCACCGCCCACTCCTGTATACCCATACTTGCACATTAGTATATTCATGTCAAGGGCCAAGTGTATGAGGTTCATACAGAACCTGGGAGAGACAGGAAACAATCAGGTTTGACTCAAGAAAGAGGGTAGCACTAATTCCTTGAATCAAGAACCTTTCACCAGCATCAACGTGCTTTCTTGAAACTTATGTAGTTTATTTAATAAGAGTACAGGTATGGAGACAATGACTATTAAACAGAATAGAAATTCTAAAGTGTAAATTGAACATATACAAATTCGATATTAAAATAGTATTGTAATTACATTTAAAGTGAGTGTAGTATTGATTAAAATGGTAAGGTAGTTGGTGATGGCAGATGTACAGCTTTCTTATATATGAACAAAGGTATGAAAGTTTTATTTCCTGGCGTTGTACAGTAAATTTATGATTGAGATTGTTTGAGGGAGTAGGTGGTGATAGATCTCGAGAACTCAGATAATTTTTTATTTTAACATGCTGGCTGTCTTCCATGAAGGCAGGGTGAACCAAAAACGAAACATCATCATTCACACTAACACTGTCTTGCCAGAGGCACACAGATAGAAGAGTAACTTGGGTAAATTTTTTTTTCAACATGTCGGCCGTCTCCCACCAAGGCAGAGTGATCCAAAAAAAAGAAACACTTTCACCATCAAAGGTGAGCTCGGCACTTTGGGATTTTTCTGGCTAGGTTGGATCCCACAGTCAAGGAAAAAGTTGGTTTATTTACTGTTTCAGTAATTGGGACAGAAGGTTCATTTACTATGAATTATTTTACCAACTTTAACAAAATATTAGAAGTTTTCTCAAGGTCATTTTTTATATCACTGTTTTACAAAATACGAATAATTTACTTCTTTTCTGTGGTATACTGATAATGTAATCTATATGTAATAAAATATTGTTAAGCACAAAAGAAAGCCACTAACATGTGGAGCACAGGAGAGTTTTTTGAGATATAGTAGTAAGTCTTTGATTTATAAACATGTTAAGGCTCTTGTGTTTTGTGTAAAATATCATTACCTGGAGTATACCTGGAGAGTGTTCTAGGGGTCAACGCCCCTGCGGCCTGGTCTGTGACCAGGCCTCATGGTGGGTCAGGGGCCTGATCAACCAGGCTGTAACTGTTGGCTGCTCACAAACTGACGTACGAACCACAGCCCGGCTGGTCAGGTACTGACATTATGTGCTTGTCTAGTGCCTGCCTGAAGACTGCCAGGGGTCTATTGGTAATCCCCCTTATGTATGCTGGGAGGCAGTTGAACAGTCTTGGGGCCCCTGACACTTACTGTGTTGTCTTTTATCATGCTAGTGGCACCCCTGCTTTTCATTGGGGGAATGTTGTATCATTTGCCGAGTCTTTTGCTTTCATAGGGAGTGATTTTTCATGTGCAAGTTTCGTACTAATCCTTTCAGGATTTTCCAAGTGTATATGATCATGTATCTCCCCCGCCTGCATTCTAGGGAGTACAGGTTTAGGAACTTCAAGTGTTCCCAGTTACTGAGGTGTTTTATCTCAGTTGTGCATGTGAAGGTTCTCTGTACATTTTCTAGGTCAGCAATTTCACCTGCCTTTAAAGGTGCAGTTAGTGTGCAGCAATATTCCAGCCTAGATAGAACAAGCAATCTGAAGAGTGTCATTATGGGTCTGGCATCCCTAGTTTTGAAGGTTCTCGTTATCTATCCTGTCATATTTGTGATCTGAGTCATTATTGTGTATAATATCATTATTATACACAATACAGGTCCCCAACGTGTTTAACAGTTGAAGATTTCCTGTATTATGAATATTATACACATTCAGGAGATCCCCAATGTGTCTGTAAGTCGAGGACTTGCTGTATTTATACTGGCCAGGTTAGTGTTGTCGATTATTGTTTTTACTCAATTTTTTTCATAGTTCTACGTTCTGCCAATGTATCTGAGAATGCTATAGTTAGCCAGGGGCTGTTTAGACTCTTAGATGTGATCTATTCACTTTTCAAAGACATTACTTACTGCAGAGGCCTTCAATTTTTTGTTGATGATGGAACACCATGAGGATAGCTTTGCTCCTGAAGCTTACCATATTTCACGGCTTATCAGACACATTTTTTTCCATAAGATGTCTCCAAAAACCACCCTGCGTCCTATAAACTGAAGGTCAGTGAGGGGAACTATAAGTTTGGGGTGTGGGGTGGGCTGTAGCTCTCTCAGTTAAGTCTGATGCCAAGCCAATGAAACTAAAAGAAGTCTTATAAGCTGCAAAATATGGTATATAGGTAAGTATAAATATTCTACAGCTCTACACATCATTAGTAAGGACTTGTTTAGATTACATGGCACAGCTCTGGTCTCCACACTGCAGAATGTATACACGGGGGAAGTGGAACAGAATTCTTCCTCCATAAGCCATGCGTGTCATAAGAGGTGACTAAAATGCCAGGAGCAAGGAGCTAGTAACCCCTTCTACTGTATACATTACTAAAGTTAAAAAGAGAAACTTTCATTTTTCTTTTTAGGTCACCCTGCCTCTGTGGGATATGGCCAGCTTGTTGGCAAAAAAAAAAAAAAAAATAAAAATGAATTGGGAAACAGAGAGAGAAGGATGACAAAATTCCTTCACTGTATGAGGAATCTTTCATAAGAAGATAAAGTAAGAGCCCTGAACCAGCACTCTTGATAGAATGAGGACTTAAGTATACAAGTGGAAAACAGGTATAAATAAAGGATATATAATTAGGTACTGAAGATATCAACCCAAGAGAGAACTCAAAACAACTGATTTAAGTTGGATAAAATCAGATACAGAAAGGTAATAGGAATGTACAGGTTTGAAAATAACAGCTGTAAATGAGTGGGACAACATGTCATGTACAGTGATTAAAATTACCTTCTAGGGTAGATTAAAAAATAAATTAGATTAATACATGAGCGAGAGGAGTTGAGTTCGAGAAGGGCCTACCTAGTATGGATCAGAAGGCCTTACTCTATTTTCAAGTATTTCTTTGCAAGTAGACAAGTACTATACCTCCAAGCAGGATGCCTCCTGGGTCATCCACCGGCGCCATGCCCTGCACATCTGTTGACTCTCGTCTACTCCAGAAACCATCGAGGCTGTCCTCATCGCCATCGCCGTCACCCATACGCCCACTGGTGTTGAGTGGTGTGGTAGTGCCAATAAATTTTTTTTTTTAGAACCTAACTCAAAATCAGGATTGCACTTCACATAAGACATATACAGTGTTGAAGACTAATTTTGCTTATACATATTTCCATATGGTATAACAGGCTTCAATATATCTTTGTAAAGCAACTTTCTCTTCCCAGTGATACTTTTGCATACAGTGGAACCTTGTTTTTCGGCCGTAATCCGTTCCTGAAGGTCGGCCTAAATTCGAAAAGGCCTAAACTTGAAACAATATTTCCCATAAGAATTAATGTAAATACAATTAATCCGTTCCAAACGCCAAAAAATATTCACAAAAAAATAAATTTTTTAAAGATTAATTTTAGTTTTATATATACAAAACAATGAGAATTAAATAAACTAAATAAACATTTAAATCACAACTACAACCTTATTGAAAACTCGGTTGACTTTATGCTTTGGAGAGAGGAGACTGATATTGTTGACTTATGGCTTATGGAGAGAGGGAACGATATTGTTGACTTATGGCTTAGAGAGAGGAGACAATATGTTTACTTTATGGCTTCATGGATAGTAAGAGTGAACTGATTTTGTTTGATATAGGCTTAATGATAAAGGGAAACATGTATAATAGTATTAACTTATATGAGATATAATCAAGAGAGAGACTAAAACAATTGTTTATTGGCATAAATCGTACAGAAGGATAGAACCAGTTTGAAAATAAAGTGTAACTATGGACAACTATGTACATGAAGGAGATAAATTATTCTGTTTAGACTTAAAAATAATTAATAATAAGAGAGAGGATGATTCGAGATATTGTTCTGTAATGGGACCAAAGGCCTACTCTCATTAAGATTTTTCAAGTGACAATACTGATGACCTAAGAGTGCCTATGGCATCCACCGCGCTCCTGCAATCTGTGACATCTCCTACTGCCAACTCGAGCTGCACTCAATCCCTGCCTGCACTCATACGCCCCTGGTTGACTGTGGGTGCAATAATTTCTTTCTTTTGAACCTGACTCTAGATTGCACTTCACTGCATATACGTGTTGAGACTATTTTGCTTACTCCTATGTATAGACAGGCTCAATATTCTTGGCACTTCTCTACACCAGTGACTGACTTTGCATACATGTGGAACCTGCTTTTCGGCTAATCCGTCTAAGGTCGGCCGCTAAATTCCTGACGCCTAGAATTACAACTCCCTAGAATAATGAATCACTTCATGCCTTCACAAACGCCAAATGATTGCCAAAAATAACATTCCCTGCTGCTTATACATTCCCTCCTGTCCTTGCTATAATCCAAACAATGAGCATTAAAAACACCCTAGCACTAAACATTAAACTCCCTGACCTGCCTTATGACTCCCTGTACACTTCCTGCAGCGTCTGACTCTGGCTTGATGGAGACTCACTGCTGTGTGCTAGACTCCCTGCCGCCTCATAGGACCCCAGTGCGACTGACTCTCTTGCCTGCTAGCTCTCTGAATGCCAGCAAACTGACTCCTACCTGCTAGACTCTGCCTGCCTGGTAGGGACACCTATGTTGCCTTATGCTTATACGACTCAGCTGCTGCTAGACTCTTCTTGCCTGTTACTTACCCTGCCTGCCTGCAAACTGCCCTGCATGCCTGCACTATCCCTGTTGCTTGCTTACATCCCAGCCTGCCATGAACTGCCCTTACCTGCTTGACTATCCCTGCTGGCCTGCTACACTTCTGCTTTGACTTATGCACTCATGCTACACTTTCCTGCATGCGTGCAAGACTCCCTCTCTCATGGACTTCAGCCTGGCCTGCTATGACACTCCCTGCCTGCCTGCTACACTCCCTGCCTGCCTGCTACACTCCCTGCCTGCCTGCTAGACTCCCTGCCTGCCTGCTAGACTCCCTGCCTGCCTGCTACACTCCCTGCCTGCCTGTTACACTCCCTGCCTGCCTGCTACACTCCCTGCCTGCCTGCTACACTCCCTGACTGCCTTGTACACTCCCTGCCTGCCTGCCTCCCTGCTACACTCCTGCTGCCTGCTACACTCCCTGCCTGCCTGCTAGACTCCCTGCCTGCTGCCTGCTAGCACTCCCTGCCTGCCTGCTACACTCTCCCTCACTGCCTGCTAGCTCTCTGCCTGCCTGCTACACTCCCTGCCTGCCTGCTAACTCCTGCCTGCCTGCTACACTCCCTGCCTGCCTGGCTACACTCCCTGCCATGCTGGCTAATCCGCTTCTTGCCTGCCTGCTACAACTCCTGCCTGCCTGCTAGACTCCCTGCCTGCCTGCTAGACTCCGCTGCCTGCCTGTGCTAGCACACTCCCTGCCTACCTGCTACACACCCTGCCTGCCTGCTAACTCCTGCCTGCTGTACTCCTGCTCTGCTAGACTCCCTGCCTGCCTGTTCACTCCCTGCCTGCCTGGTATACTTCCTGCATGTCTGCTACACTCCCTGCCTGCCTGCTACACTCCCTGCTTGTGTGCTACACTCCCTGCCTGCCTGCTACACTCCCTGCCTGCCTGCTACACTCCCTGCTCTGCCCTTGCTAGCGACTCTGCCTGCCTGCTACACTCCCTGCCTGCCTGCTAGACTCCCTGCCTGCCTGCTACACTCCCTGCCTGCCTGCTAGACTCTCTGCCTGCCTGCTAGACTCCCTGCCTGCCTGCTAAATCTCCTGCCTGCCTGCTAAACTCCCTGCACATGCCTGGCTACACATCCCTGCCTGCCTGTTTGCACTCCCCTGCCTGACCTGCTAACTTCTGCATGTCTGCTACACTCCCTGCTGCCTGCTACACTCCCTGCTTTGCTGCTACAACTCCCTGCCTGCCTGCTACACTCCTGCCTGCCTGCTACACCTCCCTTGCTCTGCCTGTGCTACACTCCCTGCCTGCCTGCTACAACTCCCCTGCACACCTTGCTGTACACCTGCCCTGCTAGACTCCCTCCTGCCTGCTAACTTCCCTGCCTGCCTGCTAACTGCCACTGACTGCCTCTGCCTCAGACTCCCTGCCTGCCTGCTAGACTCCCTGCCTGCCCTGCTATGCACTCCCTGCCTGCCTGCTAGACTCCCTGCCTGCCTGCTACACTCCCTGCCTGCCTGCTACACTCCGCTGTCCCTGCCTGCTTACACTCCCCGCCTGCTACATCCTGCCTCTGCTAGCCCTCCCCTACCCCTGCCTGCCTAGATCCCGCTGCTGTACACTCCCTGCCCTAGCCTGCCTGACCTCCTAGACTCCCTGCCTGCTGTAGACTCCTGCTGCTAGACTCTGCCTGCCTGCTACACTCCCTGCCTGCCTGTCATCGTGATACTTCTTTTGCTACACTCCCTGACCCTGCCTTCCTGCTACACTTCCCCTGCACACTGCCCTGCCTGCTACACTCCCTGCCTGCCTGCTACACACTCCCTGCCTGCCTGCTACACTCCCTGCCTGCCTGCTACACTCCCCTTCACTCCCTCTGTGCTACACTCCTGCCTGTCTGCTACACTCCCTTACTCCCTGCTACACTCCCTGACTGCCTGCTAACACTCTCTGCCTGCCTGCTACACTCCCTTACTGACCCTGCCTGTTACACTCCCTGACTGCTGCTACACTCTCTGCCTGCCTGCTACACTCCCCTTACTCCCCTGCTACACTCCATGACTGCCTGCTACACTCCCTGCCTGCCTGCTACACTCCCTTACCTCCTGCTACACTCCTTGAATGCCTGCTACACTCCTGCCTGCCTGCTACACTCCCCTCCTCCACTCCTGCCTGCTGCTACACTCCCTGACTGCCTGCTACAACTCTCTGCCTGCCTCTAACACTCCCTTACTCCCTGCTACACTCCCTGACTGCCTGCTACACTCCCTGCCTGCCTGCTACACTCCCTGACTGCATGCTACACTCTCTGCCTGCCTGCTACACTCCCTTACTCCCTGCTACACTCCATGACTGCCTGCTACACTCCCTTACTCCCTGCTACACTCCCTGACTGCCTGCTACACTCTCTGCCTGCCCCTGCTCTAACACTCCCTTACTCCTGCTACACTCCCTGACTGCCTGCTACACCTCTCTGCCTGCCTGCTCTACACTCCCTGACTGCATGCTACAACTCCTGCCTGCCTGCTACACTCCCTTACTCCCTGCTAACACTCCCTGACTGCCTGCTACACTCTCTGCCTGCCTGCTACACTCCCTTACTTCCTGCTACACTCACTGACTGCCTTGCTACACTCTCCTACCTCCTGCTACACTCCCTGACTGCCTGCTACACTCTCTGCCTGCCTGCTACACTCCCTTACTCCCTGCTACACTCCCTGACTGCCTGCTACACTCTCTGCCTGCCTGCTACACTCCCTTACTCCCTGCTACACTCCATGACTGCCTGCTACACTCTCTGCCTGCCTGCTACACTCCCTTACTCCCTGCTACACTCCCTGACTGCCTGCTACACTCCTGACTGCCTGCTACACTCCTCTGCTCCTGCTACACTCCCTTACTGCCTGCTACACTCCCTGCCTGCCTGCTACACTCCCTGACTGCCTGCTACACTCCCTGCCTGCCTGCTACACTCCCTTACTCCCTGCTACACTCCCTGACTGCCTGCTACACTCTCTGCCTGCCTGCTACACTCCCTTACTCCCTGCTACACTCCTGCTGCCTGCTACACTCCGCGTTACATTACTCCCTGCTACACTCCCTTGACTTGCCTGCTGACACTCTCTGCCTGCCTGCTACACTCTCTCCCTGCTACACTCCCTTGCTCCCTGCTACACTCCCTGACTGCCTGCTACCTCTGCTGCTGTACACTCTTGCTGCCTGCTACACTCCCTCTTACCTTCCCTGCTACAACTCCCTGACTGACCTGGTACACTCTCTGCCTGCCTGCTACACTCCCTTACTCCCTGCTACACTCCCTGACTGCCTGCTACACTCTCTGCCTGCCTGCTACACTCCCTGCCTGCCTGCTACACTCCCTGCCTGCCTGCTACACTCCCTGCCTGCCTGCCTGCTACACTCCCTT